GGAGGTGAGATTATCATTGGTCAGCCAAATGTGCAGGTTGTAAAGTTGGTTACAACCTTCTTTAAAACTGGTTAAGACACTAATAAAAATATTACTTTGGTCAGCCAAATGTGCAGGTTGTAAAGTTGGTTACAACCTTCTCTAAAACTGGTTAAGACACTAATAAAAAGATTACTTTGGTCAAACAACTAATAAAAAGATTACTTTGGTCAAACAACATTTCTATAGGATCCACTTGTTCTTATCTCCATGGAAGATTTATCCTTAACACCCACTTGGCCAATACCTATAGCTGTACCTGTCGCCATTCCTGTAACAATGGCTAGCACAGCTTCTATTTCAACCCAGACACATTCTGTCTGGTTATGTACACAGAGTTCAGGTCAGTAGGAAAACATTGACTGCAAAACTGGTTCCAACACACAATCTGCCGTACTTTACTCCGACTGTTAGAATCCACTACTACTTACATCATTTTTCCTTACGACTATCTTCCCAATACAAGTTTAGTTGACCACTATGTATAATGGTTCTTCACTCATCATTGATATTACGATCTTACACGATCATTGATGTTATACGTATCTTATATAATTTGCATCATTCAATATATTGTGATCATCTAGGCATGAACAAGGAGTGTCCTATGAGGTGATTATTTTTAAAAACTTGGGGATGAAGAATTTATTTACCAAAGTGGTATTTACCAAATGCTAAATACAAACATTTTTACGTAATTAAAGTGACTTAACAACTCAGACTGCATCAAGCTTATCACTGACACGTAACAAAAAAAGTTGAATTTTGTTATTTATGTTTGTCTGTTTCCTTTATGGATCCACTTTTATCAATATCTTCATTTGTTTACTTCTTTACTTTCAATATCCTAACTGGATCAGTATCCAAAATCACCTTTAGCATCGTAGAAGCTACGATCCATGAATTTAAGGCCAATAAGAAATTGACCAGATCGTGAATAGATTCTGAAATGGTTGATCTTCAGGATTACGTTAACACACAGTCCTCAGGATTAAATTTTTCCCACCTACTTCCATACACAATGACGTTCAGTTTTTCTATTAAATTGTTTTTATTTTTAAAGTCCTGATATATATATAAAGAAAATGTAATGTAACTTCTTGCAGACCATCTGTACATTCTTAATTTATGGATTTCATTCTTGAACTGATTTAAAAAAAAAATAACTGGAAACTTCTTGTACACCATTTACAGGAATATCATTTCAGATTTCAAAATGGTTTCGGGGTGGGTGGAGGGGTAGTTTTATTGGAAGTCCAGGGGAGTTAGGCACCTGGATTGTCTTGGATTTTTTTAGAGCTTCATATGTGTAAAAATCAGTATATTTTGAAATCATTTTCTCTGCCAGTTTCCCATATTATTTAGTAACCCTTAAAATAATGCAAATTGCACATTTTAAATGTGTACTGTTCTCAAAATAAATAAACGATATTAAGCATGGGGGGGGCAACTACTGGATTTTTATATTTTTTTTTACCAATATTTTAAGATAAGCTATTATAGTAGTAGTAGCATTTTATAGTTCTTACCCCAAAATGCCTTTCATTTGTATCAGATTCAGGTATCGTCTGAGACGGACCTCTGTTTCCTCTAAGGACGTACAATAGAGAAAAATAATACAGCACAAAAAAAGTCTTTATAAGATGTACAACTCACTTACAAAAACTTATTTTATCAACTCACTTTTGTTCATCTTTAACCACTTAGAGAGTAATTCATAGCTTCAGATTACTTGAAGGAATTATTTAACAAATTTTTCTATGTAAACCACAACTCTGAAATTGAAAATTTTCTTAACTAAATAAGCTAACAACACTGAACATCATATCTGATTTGACGAATTAATGTATGCTTATAAAAAATTCACAGAGTGCAACACTATATTAAAATTGAACCCCTGGTGGATAACTTAGGAAATTGCAGCATCTTAACAGCATGGGAAATGAGGATCATAATACATATATCTTAAATATAATTAATACTAAAATGATATCTGATACATACAAAATTTATGATACAGCTATTTCAATGTGTCAAACGTACACATTATCATTAGTGCAAATCAGTGAACAATATCAACAACTTTTTTTTTCATTTAGTAAATGCCAGCCGACAGCAAAGGTTCATGTACAAAGGTCATTATGTCCACGGCCAACACGTTAATTTGTTCAATAAACAAATCTCCCCTAATATGTGGGGATGTTAGTTTTGTTGTTTTATAAAAGTCTTTTCATTCAAACTAACATCCGACTCCCACATATAAAAATCTTTTTCTCTTATAAGTTCTGCGACATCGTCACACTGAAACCCTTTCTCTCGAAATGTGCTTAGGACTCATCCTAACATATATCCTTTTACAATATTATTGTACCTCGTCATGACAGGTTTGTTCCTTATACACACTTTAAATGATCATCTATTTAGAATTCTGTTCTTTTACACAATTCTTACAAATTATCCACAGAAAATCTATTTCCTCTGATACTATACTTATGGATTATTCATAGAAATATTTTTTTTTTTTTAGATTTTCCCACAAAGAAATCACTTTTATTTTAATAAAATTAAGATGAAAACTTTTATCTTTTGCCTCATGACTAATTAACATGATACTTTTATACTGTTACCATGACATAAAATTGTGGTTAATAAGCTGTTCAAAATACCATTCCCAAAGTCACATTTCCTCTTTAACATATTTGAAAGTTTTGTTTCCATAATCTGGATCTTCCAAGAAACCATATAATATTATAAAAGGTCAGCAAAAGATCAAAAATGGCCAAGCAGCTGCCACAGCCAATGAACCTGGAGAAGTTTGATCTTTTTTAAATTTAGATCAGTCCAGGGTGCCTATCTAAGAGATAATATCCCCCCACCCTGACCTCAAAAAACAAATCCCAGATCTGTCCCCATGAAAGGTTAATAAGACTAGCAAAAGGCAAGCATACAAATAGAGTAATAGAAATTCATGAAAGGCATTTAAAAGAAAAAGTAACTTAATCCTATAAAATGATGTGGAGATATTGACAAAAATGGAATGGTCAACAAAATCACACAAACTCGTGAAGGAAATTATACTGGAAAAAAAAATTGCTTCAAATAACGACGCACACAAAACTGCTCTTCTTGAAGAAAGTGGGGAAGAAAACCTTCTCTATTCAATATGTATGTAAAAGTACATCAATGTTTATCGTTTACGTGAAATTAAGTGGGTTCTATATTTGCACTTGTTATCAGTAGTTCATGCATATTTCAAATAATATTTCTCAAACGTCAGCATGTGCATGTCAGCGTACAACTAGCAACCCACTGACCGGACCAATTGTAACCTTAGGCCCCCTAGGGAGTGAGGTAGGGGTCGATATCCAGATCTGACCACTTGTCTTCTTATATCTGGTGAACCACTAAACCCCTTGTCATCAGTCCTGGCATATACTCTTAGGACCCTTTGGGGAGTGACATGGGTAGGGTCGTCTTTCTTTATCCCCCCCCCCCCCATGTCTTCCCCTTGTGTTGAATGGGTGTGTCAGCTAGTAGTAAATAAAGCTTTGGTTAACGTAGCATTTCTCATTCTACAAAAATACTATATTAAAACTATTTGCCAAAAGACAATGTTTACAATTTATGCTAATTTTTTATTACCATTTATAGTATGTTTGCAGATAAACAAAACATGATAAAACTCCTTTTCCCACTCTTGGATTTCTTGTACAAACTATATTAAGCATAAGAATATTTAAAAGTAAGTACAACACCCTTGTTGAAATGTATATGGTTTACAAAATTGAAAAGTTTTGAAATTTCTTGATGTGATAAAAATTAGCCAGCCTTTTCAAAAGCTATGCTATTTCGTACCATGTTATGTGAGAAATATGATGGATTTATCTAACTTATCTCCTTACATGCTCTAAATGTAACTACTTAATGGCTAAGGTTTGCCTTGTTTTGTACATCATGAACAAAGTGAAGCGTAACTAATACGATAGATATGTCAGACTGCGAGATACTCCTCTTAATTGTACAGTATAGTGACTCATCTATAGTGGACTTTCTTTTACACTGTTATTATGACTTATTTCTACACAGAAAAACTATTATTTACATTAGTATCATGACTGATCAAAACAGAACAATCCTTTAACACAGTTTTCATGACTCATCCACATAAAAACTTTTATTTTATGGGTTTTTCGTGCTTTCTAGACATGTGCATTCTCTATTCTTATTACAACGTAACTTTTACCATACAGATGTGTATCTTCTATCATACAGATGTGTATCTTCTATCATACAGATGTTCATCTCTAACCATACAGATGTCCTATCTCTAACCATACATGTCCTATCTCTAACCATACAGATGTCCTATCTCTAACCATACAGATGTGTATCTTCTATCATACAGATGTGTATCTTCTATCATACAGATGTTCATCTCCTATCATACATGTCCTATCTCTTACCATACATATGGTCTATCTCTAACCATACAGATATTCATCTCCTATCATACATGTCCTATCTCTTACCATACAGATGTATCTCCTATCATACATGTCCTATCTCTAACCATACAGATGTATCTCCTATCATACATGTCCTATCTCTAACCATACAGATGTCCTATCTCTTATCATACAGATGTATCTCCTATCATACATGTCCTATCTCTAACCATACAGATGTCCTATCTCTTATCATACATGTCCTATCTCTTATCATACATGTCCTATCTCTAATCATACATGTCCTATCTCTAATCATACATGTCCTATCTCTAATCATACAGATGTCCTATCTCTTATCATACATGTCCTATCTCTAATCATACATGTCCTATCTCTAACCATACATGTCCTATCTCTAACCATACAGATGTCCTATCTCTTATCATACATGTCCTATCTCTTATCATACATGTCCTATCTCCTATCATACATGTCCTATCTCTATCATACATGTCCTATCTCTAATCATACAGATGTCCTATCTCTATCATACATGTCCTATCTCTAATCATACATGTCCTATCTCTAACCATACATATGGTCTATCTCTAACCATACATGTCCTATCTCTAACCATACAGATGTCCTATCTGTAACCATACATGTCCTATCTCTAACCATACAGATGTTTATCTTCTATCATACAGATGTTCATCTCCTATCATACAGATGTTCATCTCCTATCATACATGTCCTATCTCTAACCATACAGATGTCCTATATCTTATCATACGGATGTCTTATATCTTATCATACATCATCTTTTGTTCATTGTGATGTTTATAAATCATCTACTAAGATTCATTCATTCACCTAAGTCCAGTTTTTGCTCATGTAGTCCAGTTTAAGTAAAAATCTGCTTTTTGCTCATGTAGTCCAGCAAATTCATTATATGATAAAATCCTCACAATTAAACAGTTTACAATAATCACTTTCTCAAAAAGGAAAATTTAAAAAATGTTAATATTTTAACAATTTCAGTAAATCTGGTAAACATTTCCATATTCAAATGTTGCCTTGTAATTTCCTTATTTTTTTTTATATCTTCTTTCATCCGATCATCAGTTCTGTCCACATAGCCAATCAACTTATCAATTTTTTCCAACTGAGCACACTGTTCTTGGCCAACCTCGAGAGCAAGAGAATGTAAACTGCTGATCATCTGGTTGATTTCATCAGCTTCCTCTTCATTTATCATCTGTTTCTCCTTCACCAACATCTCTTCACCTGATCTTCCCTCTGACTTGTGAAACTGAGTGCTACGTTCTTTTCTTGAAACTCCAGATTTTTTCGAATCTAAGAAGACAGTTTTTGTTTCCGATTAAAAACAAAAGTACCTTACTTTTTTTTCCTGGACAATAAAAATGTTAAGTAAAGCATTTCTAATGTGGAGATAAGTTTCACTAGGATATGTAAATGCATTACAGCAGTAGATTTACCACTTACAAAACTGCAGGAATATCTCAAAAGTGTGATAAGTTTAATAAAGCCACATAAGTTTATCTTAAAATCAACAGCAGCAAGTTGATTTAAAACGTCAATAACATGTTTATGTCAAGATGTAAGTACATTCTAGTTAAACATAACAAATGTAACCAAGCTAAGTATACATACCGTACATCTATTACACAAGAAACAGGTTTACTTAGCTAATGGAGGGTAACAAGTTACCCTTATAAACAGGAGTAGGTTAACAAAATATTGTAGTTAAAGTTGAATAGTTTTTTAAAACAACTCTATTGAATTATGTAAAAGCTGCCTAGTGTCGGCTAACAATACGAAGAATTAAATTGTGGCAGAATGCTACAAGTTCTTCAAATACCTATACAATGATAGGTTTCTTTTTTTGTGAGTGTAAAACACTTAAATACAACATTTCAATTGTAGTTAAAGGTTTTCATGAAATTTGATAAGCTCTAATATTAGGAGAAAGGTCTCTTGAGTACTGAATGCAGCAGATGTAGTGTGGTTGAGTTATTATAACATATTCTTTCACTCAAGGATTCTTTCTGGTAACACACAAAATTGACTTATTTGTGGTGTGCAGGTTTAGAAATGTATCTGCTAAAATGGCTAAACATACTAAACACAAGATAGAGCTTGTATATTTAATTACTTGCCACACTAACCTAACTTCAAGTAGATTCCCAAACCAATCCATCTGTAATAGTTACAACAGTTGA